GTGCAAGATGCTGCTGCACTGAGACAGCGATTCAAGGGTCCATCATACACCTGCCTGTCTACATCTGCGTGAAGTTTCAGCTCAAAAAAGGCTCAAAAAACTCTTAGACATGTGGAAATCGTGAACTATGTAATGGCACTGATGGCAATAAATGACACCTTTGCAAATGGATGGCACCTTCCAGCCCTGGGACTTGTCTGCACCTCCCATGCATGAGTGCCACAGCGAGCCAGAAAGGGACCACTGTCCTCTTCTTGTGGGGAAGGAGCTAAAAACGGTCACACGATGCCCAGGGCATTTGCTACTGAGTCAGTGGCAAATTAGGAGCTGAATATAGAAATCTTGCTGTTTGCAGCTTAGAATCTCAGAATAATCTAGGTTGAAAGGACCTCCAAAGGTCTTTCATCCAGCTCCCATGCTCAAGCAGGTGCAGCTTTGGAGTTAGAGCAGGTTGCCAGGGCTTTCTGCAGTCAAATATTAAATGTCTCCAAGGATGGAGGTTTTGTGACCTCTCTGGACCTCTGCTCCAGTACTCCACCACTTCTGTTGGGAAGGTTTTCCCTGTAGCTAACTGAAATTTCCTTTACTGCAACTCCTGGCCATTGCTTCTTGTCCCATCTTTACGTAAATACAAGAAGAATCTGGATCCCTCTTTTGCGTCCCCTCCTATTAGGGAGCTGCAGACACCAACGAGATCTTCCCTTCCCTTTCTCCAGGCTGATCAGAGTGAGCTCAGCCTCCTCTTGTACCTCCTGTTCTCCAGCCCTGACCATCTTGGTGGCCTCCGCTAGACTCATTAGTACCTCATATGACACAGACTCATAGTACCTCTATGTCTCCCTTGTACTGGGGAGCCCCAAACTGGACTCAGCATCCAGATGTGGTCTCACAAGTGTACGATCAAAGCAGTTGACCTGCTTGCTGCAGCCATGCTGAAACAGCCCAGGACATGGTGGACCTTCACTGCTCCTCAAGGAATTACCTTGCCCAGCCAGCAAAAAGACTGGTGGAGCCTTGATCTCCAGACACAGGTTTTGGCTGAATACAAAGCAGCGCGTCTACGTAAGTGGTGGAGCTGGCTGGAGCCGTTGCCCAGAGTGAAGGGCTGTATCTCAAACAGCATTTCCCCCCGGCACCCCCACTGCCTTCTCCCTCCATCCTCCTTTCTAGGGCTGCGATTTCTTCCTGCTGTCTCCTCATTTCACAGGCTCTACACGGGCTGCATAGACTCCAAAGCCTGACCCTTTCCAGACAAGGACAAGCATGGTTCCTGCACAGATGTACAGATCTACCCATGCAGTGAGGCAACGGAGGGATCAAGGCTCTATATCTCAGCTTGAGAACTACTCTTACTTTATCCTTTCTGCCTGGGCATGTTAGTGTTTCCTCCTGGAATATATGTGAGCTGTGGGAGAAGAACAAAAGGATTTCTGGGTAGGGGGTGAAGGACAGAGGATTTACTGGTTTCCTATGAGGTCAG